CCCCATTTCTCAAGCTCCTTCAGACGCGCCCTGACCCCTGTCCCCCCCTCAGACAAGATGGACGTCGACCCGCCTGTCACCTCGCGCCGCAGTAGCATCACCGGTGGCCCGCCGAGCAATATGGATGATGCCATGTGTGCGGAAAAGGGCCTCCCCGGCACCGGGGCGGCCCGCTCCTCTCTGTCGACCGGCAACCCTGGGCCGCACTTCTCCCCGGAGGGGCCCTTCCCCTTTCGTCGGCACCGGAACCGCCAGTTCGATCCGCGGCCTCTAAGCGGGACTCCCTTCGGCAGCTGCGATGACTTTGCCAGCACATTGTCGATCCCGCCCTCGGGCGCGGCCGAGGCCGGCGCCGCCGAGCAGCACACCTCCGACGTCCGGTCTCTCAAGCAGCCGGGCGCGGCTGGTGGCGGTCCGGGCGTCGGCCCGCGTGGGTCCGGCGCTGGCCTTCACCCGCCGAAGGTCCGGTCGAAGCTGGGAGAGTCGAGCGCCTTGCGCTTTGAGTCTGGTCCCGGTCCGGGCCCGAGCTCCCTGAGCCCGCAGCAGCGCCAGCAGCAGCAGAACTCCCCGCGTCCGGCTCTCTCTCAGGCGGCCAACCGGGCAGCCGGCGGCCCGGTGGCGCCGTCGAAGCCGCACTCGCAGCCGCACTCGCAGCCGCACTCGCAGCAGCAGCACCAGCAGCAGCAGCAGCAGCACCAGCAGCAGCAGCAGCGCGGCGCTGCTCGCATGCGCTCTCCCCTGAACACCACCGCGGCCAGCTCGCCGCGCAAGGGGATCAACTCGTCTGGCGGGATTTCCGACTGCCCATCGCAGGGCAACATTCGCCGGGCCTCGGCCGACATGTGTTGGGAGGGTGGCCCGGTCTTCTACCAGTCCGAGTGAGGTTGAGGTGGCCGTGTGTCCTCCAGCGCGCGGGGACCTCCCTCCCGTCAGAGGAGAGATATAGGTAGATGCGTGCCAAGACCGAGCATGCACACGTGGTCCCCTTCTGCGCAGGCTGCCTCGCCTCTTCGTCGCCTCTTACGCGCGCGCGTCCTTCCACTCCTCCCTGCCCTCGCTCTGGCGCGTTAGCAGTTGTGACGCAAGAGAGAGGGGAGAGAGAGATAGAGGGGGTGGGGTGGGGATGTATATGCCATCTTTTGTCCCCCGGCTGGTGGCGGCAGTCCGCCAAATGTGCCCCTCCCTGTCCTCGTGCGCGGGCCTCGCGCCGAATCCCCTTTCCCTGTCCTTTGCCGCTCCTATGGCACCCAATAAAAGAAAAGCACCAAAGGGCGGAGTCGCCTTCCTGTGTGCGCCAGCGGCGGTGTGCGTGTATCCCCGGAGGAGAGGTGATCTCATGTCGGGCCCGATCCGGCCTGTGTGTGCCCCTCTGTGTTATTAGTTTCCCTCCCCCTGCTCTCTTCTCTCTCTCTCTCTCTCTCTCTCTCTCTATGTTTCCGAGTATACCACATGTGTGTATGCGAGGCATGTAGGTATGTTGCTAAATTTATGTGTGTGTGTGTGTGTGTGTGTGTTTTCGGCAACAGTGGTGGGCTGAGGGCCATTTCCATCTCCTCCGGGGTGGGAATACGGCGGGAGAGGGAGGGGGGGACAGGGCAGGGACCCACCAGAGTCTTGGGCAGGGGAGACGGCCTCGCCGGGCGAGCGAGCTGATCCGGAAAGCAGAAGAAGGTCAACCGGGTACGCGGGGGGGGGGGGGGGGGGCAGCTTGACCCCCTCGGGTACTTTGATCGAGCAGATCTGGTGGTTGCCTTCCCCCAGCCGGTGAAACAGCCCCCGCCGTTTGACCATGCCCGAAGAAAAGGGACTATTGTGGGGGATTTCTCGTTGCGATTCCGGGAGCACATTTAAATCACATGGGACACCATCTGATCGGACACGAAGGGTATCGTTCGCCGTATGGGCAACAGGACCCGGCAACCTTTCCCGACCTGCCAGCCTACGCGCACACCCCCGGGGTTTCCCGTTCATGTGGGGAAGGGGTCGAGAGAGCGTGTGCGTGTGTGTGCGTATGCGGCGGCGAGGTCCCCCTCGCCCGGGTCAGTGTTATTTTTTCGTCACTATGTGCCCCTTCTCCGGGGCGGGGGGGCGGGGGGAGGGGGGACGCCGGGCCGAGCGGGCTGGCGAACTGCTGTCGCTTATGATGTTCCCCCACCGCCCTGCCCGATTGTTTGTCTGTTGGCTGAGGCGCGCCGGTCAGGGAGTGCGCTGTTCTCGGGTCTGGTCCGGGCGGGCGGAGCGGAGCGTTGCCATTCAGCTCGGCGATCATGCTTCGCTGTTCCCCTGGGCCCTGTAGGTGGCTCTGGAGGCCCGCTGGGGCAGCCCCGGGCTCTCGTTCCGGCGGGGTTGAGCCGTGGCAGCCCAATTTCGCCCCAGTGGCTGATGCGCCTCAAATCCGACCACTTGCCCACCAGGGGAGCCCTCTCGTAACCCAGGCGGCGGGGAAGGAGCAAGCAGGAGCGGATCGCGCCAGGCGACCGGACGCCCCCCGCTGCCCTGGGCCCGGCGCCGGCAGGGGGGGGGGG